TTCAAAAATAAAACAATGTAAAATTTTACAGCCTGCAAGTTCACTCATTCCTACTTGTTCTGCCAATCGCTCAGACAAATAAGTTTATTTACATGTGCAGGAGATAACGCTGCCCACTTCTTGTTTACAATGTCACCTGAAAATGAGAACAGGCATTTTCGTGGCACTGTTGTAGCGGGCATTGCAAGATATTTATGTGCCGGATGCGCTAAAGATTCATATGTCCCTTCATGCTTCAACCACCATTCCAGGGGACATGCGTCCATGCTAATGATGGGTTCTGCTCTATAACAATCCAAAGCAGTGCAGACTGACGCATGTTCATTTTCATTATCCGAGTCAGATGCCACCAGCAGAAGGTTGATTTTCTTTTTTGGTGGTTCGGGTTCTGTAGTTTCCACATTGGAGTGTTGCTCTTTTAAAACTTCTGAAAGCATACTCCACACCTTGTCCCTGTCAGATTTTGGACGGCACTTCAGATTTTAAACCTTGGGTCAAGTGCTGTAGCTATCTTTAGAAATCTCACATTGGTACCATCTTTGTGTTTTGTGAAATCTGAGTGAAAGTGTTCTTAAAATGAACAACATGTGCTGGGTCATCATCTTATTGACTACTATAACATGAAATATATGGCAGAATGCAGGTAAAACAGAGCAAGGGACATACAATTCTCCCCCAAGAAGTTCAGTCACAAGTTTAATTAACGCACTAATTTTTAACAAGCATCATCAGCATGGAAGCATGTCCGCTGGAATGGTGGCTGACACATGAAGGGGCATACGAATGTTTAGTGTATCTGGCACATAAATACCTTGCAATGCCGGCTACAAAAGTGCCATGCAAAATGCCTGTTCTCACTTTCTGTTGACATTGTAAATAAGAAGAGGGTGGAATTATCTCCTGTAAATGTAAACAGATTTGTTTGCCTTACGGATTGGCAGAACAAGAAGTAGGACTGAGTGGACTTGTAGGCTCTGAAGTTTTACATTGTTTTGTTTTTGAGTGCAGTTGTGTAACAAAACAAGACAAAAAAAAACTACATTTGTAAGTTGCACTTTCTTGACAAAGAAATTGCACTACAGTATTTGTATGAGGTGAACTGAAAAAATACTATTTCTATCATTTTTACAGTGCAATAATAATTTGTAATAAAAAAATTATATACACTTTGATTTCAATTACAACACAAAATACTGCTAATGAGTTAACTGCGATTAATTGACAGCCCTAATTACAATATAAGATCACAAAAGAATAGTAAAGGGTCTCTTTTGCCAAAGCCTAGAAAACAAAATCCCACTTTGCATAAGCTGATGCAAGCTGAAAACAAGGGAATGAAAAATACCGTTTACTTCACTGACATGCATGCCATGAAATACTGAAACTCCTACTACTTTATTTTGGAGCTTAGCCACTTAATGCATAATCATTATCGAGTACAGCCCAGGAGATGCATTTTCACTTCTTTTAACTACATACACAGTAATGTATTCATAGTGCAAGCGCTTGAAACTATCTGAATCGGCAAAGCTAAGAGTTTTCTGTGGAAAACGCAAAAGCAATGCATTCACCTCATGCCCTCCCTGAGTAGGAGATAAGTCATTCAAATCTAAGAAATCACTTTGAATTTGAAAAGCTTTGATGATTAAAAGTACAATTATAGTAAATCAAGTTGACAACAAATAACATAATGTGGTTTCAAGTTTATCACACAAACACTTCCTTATGAAATCTACTTCGTTTTTTCTAACTCACCCTGAGATCTGAATATGTCAAGCTGTGTTCTGTCACTTACATCATCAGTAATAAGGTTTCTGTCATTAGAATTTAGCTGACAGTTTTGTTGATGATGCAGGACACAGAATAGAATCCAGTCCACTAATCCATAGCAATGCAGAGCTTTTATAGATAACAGTATTTAAAAAATTGTTTTTGTCTGTAATGCGATAAGAATCTGAATACACATGGGGACAGAGCTATTGATCAAAAACTTGCTATTTTTACTGAGCCAGTTTCCTATCATCACAGTAACACCCCTTTTAAAAACAATTTTCATACGAAAAATGTAAGTGGTTTACTCCACATATATTTTGGCATGAAAGAAGAACAGTGTAAGGTAATTGGAATCTCACAGTGGAAGAGCAGAAAAAGGAGAGAGCAAAGGAAGGAACCCAGAGCTTGAAAAATAAACTCTCTTACTTGTTAGTGGCAAATATGAAGTGTTTGGACCCAGCTGTTTCTGCATAATCTAACCTTTCACTGAAGAAAAAGAGTACTAGCCTGAAGACAGAACTGCATTAAGGAGGCTGCCTTCCTGAGCCTGCAGACATCTCTCATTTGTCTGCTGCTAAGCACTGCACCAGAATGAAACAAAACTATTCAGAACCCCATGGGCACCACTGAAAGTGACAAAAATGAAGTTAATTGCATAAAGGTGCTGCTTGGAGAAGCTATAATTAGCAGCAGAGGCAGGGGCTGAAGTTGTTCATGGAGATTTATGTAGACTAGCAGAGATTCCCCATATCCCTTCCATAAGTCAAAGGCCAATACATAAATGGACCCTCTGAACAGAGATCCCAAGTGATAGGAATCCTAGCACTCTCCCCAAACCCCACAGCAAGGGTGTAAGGGACCCAGGGTCCCACCAGAGCATTGTCTCTTCCTCCCCCGTTTTCATCTCAGCCTCTGATTAAAAGGTTTAGTTCTTTGGCTAGGCCATGTATAATTTTTCAAGAGCTACAAGAAACCAACTGAACGAGGGAGAAGAAGGAAAGTACAAAGAAATCCCCACTAAAAGGTAAGCAAGCCCCTATTCTTGTTCCCAGCTTTAACAGTATATGAAATCTGAATTTATTGTCTGACAGGCTCTCTTTAAATAGAAAAATAAAATCTATTTTTTTCCCCTCCAGTGAGTACTTTCTTGTCTCTCCTAGATGGTAACTGGTTAGCTCTGGGCTAAATGAGTACACAAAGCAATGCTATTCACAGTGAACTATTTATGTAATGTGGCAGGTTGCAGCCAGGATGACCAGAACAGGGGATTCCAGGTCATCGGTGCCTGGTTATATCCACACAGCATTTAGAACAAGTGTTGAATTCTGGCCAAAAAGTTTGCAAGATTCTTCAGGGGATTTAGCAGGAGTTCTACTTAGATGCTCTTTGGATTGCAAAGCTGTTAACATAAGTTCTATGAATGAATTTATGGCAATTTCTAGCTAATATCAGTAAATTAGAGCCTTCCCCCCCCCCCCCCCGAGTACTGTAAGAAAGAAAAGAAAAAGGGGAAAAAGGCTGTCAGTCTTGATTTGGGGGGCATGTGGAATCCTTAGGGGGCCCTAACACAACTTTGCACTAAAATATACTGATACTTGGACAAAAGTCACTTCTGCAATCCAGCAGAGAAAGGACAAATTGCCTTCATCTTACCATACGGAAGGAGTCACTCCAATTAACCGGCTTAACATACTGAAACTCAGTGGTTTCTCAGAGTCAGACAGCTAGTGACAGGGACACTCTTGTAAGAATAAGCATAAAGTACACCAAAGTCACCCCTAGGGAGCTTGGCCTCATTCCAAAACTCAAGCATGCTCATTAGGACCTGCCCATATGCCTGCTACAAGTGTGCAAGACTGCCCCCTTTAAGTAGCAATGTAGTTCCCTTCAGATTCTGTTGCTTCCTCACCCTGGCTACCCAATCAGCTGCTGAACATGGACCAGAAGTGACAGCCACCACTTCACTGCACCGCTAAAAGGTGCCAAAAAAAGCCCAGGTACCTGAATTGGCAGTGGCCTCAGAAAGCAAATCAGCTTCCGCCCCAGGAGAGTCAGGCCCAACACAGAGACCAAGCAGAGGACAGACTAGGACAGCAAGCATGGCAATCCAGAAGTTTAATCGCCAGCACAGGCACTAATGCTTGTGGGTTAGGATGGACTTTGAGTGGTGGTGAAGGGTATGGGATGGATTAGGATGGGCTTTAAAGCTGTGTGTTGCCTCATTCCACTCATGATTAAGTCCCTGTGTATAAGAGCTAGAAGGTAGTGTAATAACCGGTGTCTCCCTGACCTGGACAATGGGAAAAGGCTTTGACTAACAGCTCAGTAGAATCAAGCAAGACAATATTACCTCTTAGTTTCTGATAATATTCTGAAAAAACCCTGGTGGAATTGGTATCATCATGGCTGTGCCCATACTAGTCTTCTCCACGCCACCTCACCCAAAGAAGTCCTGCCCACTGCTCTCAACAGCAGCAAAGCTCCACTAGCAATTGCGGGAGCACTAGTGTATACAGGACTTCAGTTACCAGTGTCATTTTAGTCTGTCTTGTCTAGATAGCATAGTTAGAATACCAATCATTGCCTGGAGCTCTGTCTACATTAGTGCTTCCTCCGCTGCTACTCCTGCACTGATGTTCGCAATGGTGGAGAATTTTGTTTTTTTTAAAGAAAGGCTGAGATCACCCTCTCTGGCTAGAAGCGGTCTGGAGGATATGAGCCAGAGGTAATATCTGAAGGTGTTGCTTGATTCCGGCAAGTCTGTTAATTTCAGACATTGACCCCTGAAGCTCAGTGTATACAGTAACTCCTCGCTTAACGTTGTAGTTATGTTCCTGAAAAATTCAACTTTAAGTGAAACGATGTTAAACGAATCCAATTTTCCCATAAGATTTAATGTATTTGCTGGGGGTTAGGTTCCAAGGACATTTTTGGGGGGCAGACAAAAGGCATTATATATTGTACAGTACTATACTGTGGCTGGGAAGTGCCCCTGGCTTACCTCACACAGGCACAACCCACTGCAGGCAAGGACGCTAGGAAGCACCTTCGCAGCTGCAGCTTCCCCGGAGAAGAACAGGCACCGGGAGATGCTCCGGGCCCCCCTCTTCCCACCCCCCGCTCCACTCCAGGTCCACCTCTTCCCACCCCCACTCCACCTCCTCTCCGGAGCACGTCACATCCCTGGTCCTTCCCCCCACCCCAGAAAGTCCTAACTGCCTTAGGACTTTCTGGGAGGGAGGGGCAGGAGCGGAGACGCGACGCTTCCCCGCTCCTCCCCCTCCCTCCCAGCACTTCATGCTTAGGACTTTCTTGAAGGGAGGGAGGGAAGGAGGGGGTGGGAGTGGAGACGCAGCGCTTCCCAGCTCCTCCCCTTCCCTTCCAGAAAGTCCTAAGCACGGGGAAGCGCTGGGAGGCAGGGAGAGGTGGCGGAGAAGAGGAACTTGTACAATGCTCCCTTGTAAAGTCGCTGCTCTTCCACAGAATCTTACAAGCAGTGGACAGAGCAGGCAGTCAAACAACATTATAAGGGAGCATTGCACAACTTTAAACGAGCATTTCCCTAAATGAGCAACAACATAACTTTGAAACAACATTAAGCGGGAGGACGTTAAATGAGGAGTTACTGTATTTCAGAGCTATATATTTAATGCCACTTTGTTAAATCTCACACTTGAGATTCCTGCATTTTAGAGATCAAAACAAATCACTGATTTGACTCTGTTTCCAAATTAATGCACTGACTGTAATCAAAATCCTGAGCCACTCTCCCCAAGTGATTAACTGCCTAGTCAACAATCTGCTCTTGCCAATCAGAAGAGCATTTGCAAATACAAATCAAACATTCAGAGTTGTTGGTTACATTAATAATGCAGGCTCTACGGTTGCTGGATTGGAACTCTGGTGACAATACCAATACATTGGCCTCGGGGGATGTGGGGGTTATGTGCAGTGAAGAGCAGAAGGCGCAAAGAGCATGCCACAGCACTGCCAATGAAGCCAAACAATTCAGAACCATATGATCCACAATGAGGTGCTTGATTTAGAGGGAAAAGACTGTTTTGAAACAAATGTCTTTGGCAGTATCTGACCTACTATTTCAGTTAACCCCTCATTGAAATTGCTCCAGTTAGCACCAAGGTGGTGACCAAAGAACATTTAGGAGTTTAGTTTATATTATTGTTTCCTCCCACCACATCCACTCCTACTCCTTTAAGAGTATTCTTTCCTCACCTCTGATCTTGAATTTTTTTCCAGGAAGGAAGTTTAGATAGTTAAAGAGTAACCAAAGGAAGCAATACTCCAAGACCATTGATTTGTTGCTCCACCTACATGTTTTTGTAAGAACATAAATATATATATATATTTTACCTGTGTGGTAACCATAACTATCTTTAGAATCTGCAAACCTAGTTTCCATGGGATTTGACGTCTGGCTCTGTATTTTTCACATGGGTTCATGAAGTAAAACTTCAAATCCTCCTTTAGAGCATCCTCTTCTAGATCTGAATCTGGTTGAGGCATCATACGTCTGCCATAAATAATATGTTAATTAGAAACCCACAGAATGTCTTGGCAGACACTTTACATATATTACAGATTCATCTCACAGATCTCTGTTTGACTTAGAGGTCTGTACAAACTAGAATGAAGTTTTTAATAGTAAAATTGAAGAGACAGTCTCCTATTACAGTGTAGTTACCAAACCTATTTCATCACACTATGCTATCCCAACTGCACATCTCAACACAGCATTTAAATGACTATTCTCCAAAATACCTCCGCCCAATAAAGTGATTTTATATTCATTATACAGATTAGTAAATGTTTTTTTTTAAATCTATTCATTAAATCTAAACATTTTGAAGCATTTTGTTTATATAAACCACAATCTTCCTTTAACCTTTAAACCCCTATAGAAAAGTACTCAGAGACCAAAGGTCTAGGCTTTGAAGCACACTGACAAAGCAGCGTGGGAAAACCTGCACTTTCACTTCCTGTGCATAAGTATATTTTTAGTTTACGGGCCCATCAGTTGGGTACTTTTTACAAGCACTAAGTTCACTGTAAAACCAAACATCTCCAAACACACCAAAACATCATGTTTTAAATATAAACAAACAAGATGTACACATTCTTTGGTGTCATATATAGTAGCACATTCAATTCACTTGTAGAAACTGATGTAGAGTGAAAAAGTGAGAAACTTTTCTTTCCCCTTCTCTTCTCACACTTCCTCACCTTTATTTCAAATGCAGCAAGTGCTGACTTCCTGTTTAAGTCTTAAAGATCTGAACTCAACTTGTAAATTTTTTCTAATTAAAGACAATTTCATTTGTAAGTACAAAAAAGTAACATGTTCTCTTGCTCCCGTTAGACTTTCAGAAAAATATTTCCAATATCCAAAGTTATATATTAGGATAGCAATTTCCCAGTGTTGGTTGACACTTGAAAAATACATATTTAAAGTTTTCAAACATGCATTCATTCATATCTGATCTTCGTTTGATCTGGTCTATATGCAATGTATAGTGTACTTACAGTTCTGAATTCTATAACGTACTGTATGTTGCATGAAGTATACCCCCACAAAACTCATGTGATTTGCAGAACCAACCCTATTCTCAAACAGCAAGAGTGTAGAAGTAATTTTCAAGTCTAGAGGAGCAGTACAGTACCACTCCCAGGTAAGCAAGTAAAAACAGATTTTATCACTGAAGCCCAAAGGTTACGTTTATTACACAGTGACTGATTTTATGGTTCAAATAAAAAAAAGGAGAGGTGAGGAGTTCAGTCCAGTAGAATTACAAAGATGCTAAGAGAGCTTCAGAAACATCGGGGGGAGGGCGAAATCAGAAAAACTAATTTTAAAGTTTCCCTAAGAAAAACAAGGCACCAAGCTGGGCTAGTTTTAACCATGTTAGGAAAGTGGTTAAAGGGATATCAACATGAAAACACACATTTCTGCCTGAAAAATGTATACCTAGTGTAGTTACCAGAAACATTTAAAGATTGCTTTTTAGATATCGTAATTAGCAGAACAAAATTGTTTTTTCAGTTTGTATCCTTTGGGCATTTGACAGCACTCTGTGTCTAGTAAGATACTGAAAAGAGCTTTATAAACATCAACAAGGTTTTTTTAAATGAATATTTCTTTAAAACCTCAGGACATAGTATTTGGAGAGAGGTTCTTCTTTTTGTTTTGTTTTATGTTCACCTATCTAAAAAACATCAAGTTGATTAATAAATAATAATAATAATAATAATAGCACTTTCACTCTTTTGTAGCTCTTTCCATCCAATAATCCTTAGCCCTAATCGCCACAGATTTTTACTGATACCATCAGCTTCCCTTATTAATTGTCTGCATTTTCTAACTGCTGGTTTGTAAGGTTAAGGAAAATAACAAGGAAGTCTTTGAAACATATGAAACCTATGGAACATATGAAATCCTACCAATGGCACTGGTCCAATACTAGATAAAGATGGTAAAATTGTCTATCATGATGAAGAAAAGGCAGACCTATTCAATACACATTTATATTCTGTATTTTGAAAGAAGCAGGATGAAGTATTAATATTTTACAGTGTTAGTAAAATACTTACTAGGGAGGATGTTACACAGCAGCTGTTACAATTGCATATTTTTAAATTTTCACGACTGGATAACTAGCACACAAGAGAATTATAAGAATAGGTCAAGGAGCTCTCTGAACCATTAATGTTAATTTTTTAATGAGTGTTGAAGGAGTAAGGAAATTCCAGAGAACTGGAAAAAACTAATCTCATACCAATATTTAAAAAGGAAACTGACAAAGGCAAAACATTGGAAAGACAGATAAAGAATGCAATTAATAAAGAATTACATAATTTTTTTTTAAGATCACAAATTTGGTTGACAAAGGTAGCCATGTTGACATAACAGATTTCTGTAAGGCATTTGACTTAGTCCTGCATGATAATTGATTAAAAAAAATTAGCACTATGCAAAAATCAGGGAAGAGGGTGCTTCTAGTGGGGTTCCAGAGGGATCCCTATTCTTGGCCCAAAATTATCCAATGTCTTTATCAATTATTTTGGAGACAACATTAAATCATTGCTGGTGAAGTCTGTATATGACACAAAACTTGATAGAGTAGTAAATAATGATGGGGACAGCTCAGATATATAGACTGGCCTCAATCGCTTGCTAAGGTGGTCTCATTTGAACATGCATTTTAATACAGCCAAAATCAAGGTCATATATCTAGATACAAAGAGATTTTGCCCAAAGTCTCACAGGTAATTCTGTGTCAGTCAGGAATAAAATGCATGTCTCCTCTTTTCTAGTCTTATGCTTCAACATGACTGTCCTCTTGTTATTAAATACTGCCATGATAAGAAGTTCTGTGCTTAATGACTTTAACTAATATATACACCCTCCCCCCACAGACGCCAATCTAGCACAAATGGATTTGTTTACATTACAAAATTTTATCATGTTCAAACACAATTATGAAGAATTTAGATAAGCTTACAGAATGCTAACCATAATAATAGTGATGACACCTAGCTCTTATACAGCACTTTTCATCAGTAGATCTCAAAGCACTATACAGAGAAATTGACACACATAGAGATGAAGTGTCCAAGACTGACAGTTAGCATAGCCCTGAGTAAATCACGTTCAGTGTCAGCTAATAGTGATTAAATGCAGCTAGTCACTGTTTGCCCTGATCTATGAAGACCGCTCAGTCATAGTCATGTTGTATCAAATAATTCAACTTTTCTCAGTGCTGTTTGAACATAACATGTTACAGGGTAGACAAGGTCAGTGTGGACAGAGCTGTTGCAGCATCAACTGTGGCCGTCTGAGACCACCTTTGGCAGGATTCAAGCCTGGTTTTCAGACACAATTGTAATAGGGTCTGTAATGGTGTGGCATGAACACAAGGAATGTTCTAACTTTTTTTTTTTTAATGTTAACTGGAAGTTTTAAAGACAGTGTAACAAATCCTAAGGAGGATGGGGCCTAAGTTTACTGCAATCTTAATTTCTGCAGTACAAAACAGAAGTGCTTTGAGATATATTGTCACTCTTTAATTAGTTTGCTTTAATCCTCTGTCACAGTACATTTGACTATAAATAGTCAATAAACTGAACTACTATGAACATCCTCCTGGAAGAGGAATTACTGGATCCAAAGTTCTCCATGGTTGTGCATTAGCAACACAAACAGAGGTGGCCACCTATCTCATGACTGAAAATATTACACTGAAAGAGACAACTCTGTTCTCTGGTGTTAGAGAAAACAGTGGTTTCCGCCAACCCCCAAATAAGTGTGAACACAGCACTGGCTCCTCTCCTCAGCCCCACACAAGAAGCTGCTTTGAGCTGAATCCTGCAGCAATACAGCCATGGGTGAGGGGCATGGGGATGAGCATGGATGGATGCAGTATGTGGAAGGAAACAGGCCCAATGGGCAGAGCTGCTCTAGAAGAAACAAATTGTTTCAGGAAGGAAATGTAACACACACGGTTAAAAATACACTGGGTGAAAGCTTTTATTGTTGTGGTTGCTGCCGCTGTTCAGATGCAATTCCTAGACCATTAAAAGCCCTTTGCATTGCCTCTAATTTTCTGTCTCCTCCACTTCAGCAAATTTCAAATGCCTTGGGCTGCCCAGAGAAATGTAAGAGCATCTAACCAGTTCCAGGGGAACCTTGGCATCTGCACAGTGAGGGCTTGATTCTGATCTCTCTGTACATAATTCTTATGCTGGTTCCAACTCCATGGACTTCAGTGGAACTACTCCTGCCTTGTATCAGCGCAAGTGAGAGAAAAGTCAGGCCCAGAGTCCTTCCAAGTGCCAAGTAAAATATATCTACCACCACCACCATCCAAAAAAATCCACTTTAAAAAAATAAATGTCCTTACCCCTATTACTAGCAATACTTTCCATCCTAAAAGCTGCACAAGCTTTAAGGAGCATTTAAAAGTCTTGTTTCTCCTCCTTTTTGGCGGGGTGTCATTTACTAGTTGCATCACGCTCAGCTGGGGACAGCAAAGCTTAGGACATTGCCAGGGACCCTCCTGCCCATGCACTGGAGAGCAGCGTTATGATAAATAAGATCGGCTGCTCAGGTTTGCGCCCCCAGTCCCAGGCACTGGTGGGGGGCAGGCGGGATTTTAAAACCCAAACCTCTGAACTCTCACTGATGTAAAAGTCAAGTCACTCCGCTTGGGCAGCTTCAGTGGGAAGAGCGACGGGGAGGCTCCCCGAGGGCCCCTCAGTGACAGCCAAGGGGGTGACGGGTCCCAGCCCCCTGAAGAACTGCCTAGCTCGCGCCTGATCCCCAGCCCAGCCGTGGCCACCGAGGCGCCACGCTCCCAGGCAGCCCCCAGCTCACCTGGTCACCAGCGTCCGGCCCCTGGCCACATACCCCACCGACAGGTCCATGGCGCACGCCGGCCGCGGGGCCCCGCCGTGGCCACGGCTGCCCGGAGCGGCGCGCTCGCAGCGGGGCGCGGGACCCATGCAGCTCCCGGGCGGGCGGGCGGGCAGCAGGCGAGCCGGGGCAGCCGAGCTAAGCCAGCGCAGCCGGATCCGCGGTCACGTGGCGCCCCGAGCGAGTCCGGAACGGAGAGTGACGGGGCGGAGGCGCCTGGCGCCTGCAGCCCTAGGCATTGGCAGGGCAGCGGCAGCGCTCGGGGCTTCCGAGGAGCCGGAGAATCCCCCAGACGCCCACCCCCCGCGGCAAGGGGCGCGCGCCTTGGTTTTAAAGCAGGAGCCTTGAGCTGGGGCTCGCAGCGCTCTGCAGGGTTGGGACGCGGTTTGCGGCTGCCGGGGTCCGTTGCTTCCCACGTGCTGCTTGCTTGCCCCTCAAACCTGCTGTCTGCGCCGCGAGCGGCAGCCTCGCCCAGCGCCCAGGCCTGGGTGTTCATGTCCGAGCCCCAGACCCCCGCGCTGCACCTTGAACGGGCGCAAATCCGCGCCTGTTAGCAGCGCTAGGGGCTGGCCTTCGCTAGCACATGTCAGTCAGAGCTACTAATACTAGGGCTTGGCTGAGTCCCCTGCAACAGGCAGGACCCAGTCCCGCTAGCCTGGGGCCGCCAACTTTCAGTCACAACATTTGCACGTGGCAAGCCTGGGCCCAGCAGCCAAGCTAAGTGCGTGCCCTGGGAGAGCACAGGGAGTAACCACACCTCCACCCAACACTCCCGGTTACACAGAGCGATTGGATTAGCAATTGGTAACTCAGGCTGCAGCTGGAGACTGGCTCTGTCACCGGGGGGGGCACTAGCTGGCTAAGGTTATGTCTTCACTAGCAAATGTTGCAGCTGTACTGCTATAGCACCTCCCCAAGAGGCGGTAGCTACATTGAGGGAAGCTTTTTTCTGTTGACCTAGCATTGCCATGACCAGGGGTAGATGGTCTTAAATACCTCTCTCAGGGGTGTGGATTTTTCACCCTCCTGAGCAACATAGCTGGGTCAGCCTAGGGTTGCCAACTTCTCTGGATTGACCGGGAGTGTACCGGATTTAGCATCGATCTCCCGATGACTATTGAAAGCAATACGGGAGATTTTAATAGGTCGCTGAAAGTCCGGTTGGCGGCACAGCAGGGCTAAGGCAGGCTCCCTACCTGCCCTGCCTCCACGTAGCTCCCGGAAGTGGCCAGCATATGCAGCTCCTAGGCACAGGGGAGGCCAGGGGATCTCCGCACATTTCCCCTGCCACGAGCACCGACTCCGCAGCTCCAGTTGGCCAGGAACCGGAGCAGCAGGGGTGGTGCCTGCAAACAGGGGTTAACCCACACACCTCCTAGGTGTGGTGTTCTATCCCATCTAGTGGCACCAAGACCAGTTAGAGCAAGGGAGGGCAAATTTACAGCCCATGGGCCAGATCCAGCCCGTCAGGGCTTTTGATCTGGCCTGTGGGATTGCCAGCTCCGTGGCACAGCAGGTCTAAGGCAGGCTCCTTGCCTACTCTGGCCCTGCACCGCCCCCCACAGATCCCATTGGCCAGGAACAGGGAACCGCAGCCAATGGGAGCTTCCGGGAGGGTACCCAGGAGCCACTGCTGGACATGCTGGCCACTTCTGGGAGCAGTGCGGGGCCAGGGCAGGCAGGGAGCCTGCCTTCAGGCCCGGCTCCAGGGTTTTGGCTGCCCCAAGCAGACAAAAAAAAAAAAAAAAAAGCCACGATCGCGATCTGTGGCAGCAATTCAGCGGGAGGTCCTTCGCTCCGAGCAGGAGTGAGGGACCGTCCGCTGAATTGCCGCCTAATAGCTGGACCTGCCGCCCCTCTCCAGAGCGGCCGCCCCAAGCACCTGCTTGCCGGGCTGGTGCCTGGAGCCGGCCCTGCCTGCCTTAGCCCCGCTGCGCACCGCTCCCACACCGGAGCGGCTCGAGGTAAGTGGCGCCGGGCCAGACCCTGCACCCCTCCTGCACCCCAACCCCCTGCCCTGAGCCCCTTGCCGCACCCTGCACCCCAACCCGCTGCCCCAGCCCTATATTCATGGCCCTGCATACAATTTCCCCACCCAGATGTGGTCCTCGGGCCAAAAAGTTTGCCCACCCCTGAATTAGAGAGAGAGATTAATGAGTTTGCTCTACAGCAGGGGTTCTCGAACTTAATTGCACCGTGACCCCCTTCTGACAACAAAAAAAGACCCCAGGAGGAGGGACTGAACCTGAGCCTGCCCGAGCCCCGCCGCCCCGGGCCAGGGGGCCAAAGACAAACCCCAAGGGCTTCAGCCCTGGGGAAGGGGACTAACCTGAGCCACACTCCCCAGGGCTGAAGCCAAGGCCTGAGCTCTGCCAGCCAGCGCTGAAGCCCTTGGGCTTTGTCCCCAGGCAGTGGGGCTGAATCTTAGGCTTCAGCCCTGGCAACACCATTAAAATGGGGTTGTGACCCACTTTGGGGTCTTGACCCAGTTTGAGAACTGCTGCTCTACAGCCTTAGTTAAGAGTCACATGGCTTTTAGTTCATGCAGTAGAGGCTCATGCACTAAGCTCCAGAGGCCCGAGGTTCGATCCCGCCCACTGATGACTGGGATCTGTCGGCATTACAGGGGCAGCACATGAAGCCACTTAGCTGCCCCTGAGCCTAGGAGCCAGAGGGACACGCCAGTTGCTTCTGGGAGCCGCCCAAGGTAAGTGCCACCTGCTCCTCAGCCCCCTCCCGGAACCCACATCCCTCACCCCCTCCTACACTCCAACCCTGAGCCCCCTCCTGCACCCAAACTCTCTCCCAGAGCCTGTACCCCCTCCTGCACCTGAGCCCCCTCCTGCATGCCAAACTTTTCATTTCTTGCCCCACCCTGGAGCCCTCACCCGCTTCCATACTCCAATACCTTGCCCCAGCCTGGTGAAAGTGAGTGTGGGGGAGAGCAAGCGATGGACGGAGTGGGCATGGGGCCTCAGAGAAGGGGCAGGTAGGGTGACCAGATGAGAAAATATCAGGACACATGGGGGGGTGGTCGCCGGCGGAGCAAAAAAACGGAGTGCCGCGAAATATCGGGACAAATTGTGTCCCGAGGTCGGGACGCGGGACAAATGCCTAAATAGCGGGACAGTCCCAATTTTATCGGGCCGTCTGGTCACCCTAGGGGCAGGATAAGGGTGTTCGGTTTTGTGTGATTAGAAAGTTGGCAACCCGAGGTCAACCTAACTTTTTAGTGTTGAGCTGGGCTAACTAGCTCCAGTTTAAAGACCCACTTACTTTGAGCTAGAAATGTGTGTGTGAATAGGAATCAGGTTTCTGGGAAACCCATGAGCTAATACTTCAACAAAGACAAATAGCTGGACTGTGATCTCTTCGGGGCAGAGGCCGTGTTTTGTTCTGTGTTGGTGTAGTGAAGGGGTAGGCAAACTTTTTGGCCCGAGGGCTACATCTGGGTATGGAAATTGTATGGCAGGCCATGCATGCTCATGAAATTGGGGTTGGGCTCCAGCTGGGGGTGCAGGCTCTTGGGTGGGGCTGGGGATGAGGGGTTTGGGGTTCAGAAGGGTGCTCCAGGCTGGGACCGAGAGGTTCGGAGAGTGGGAGGGGGATCAGGGGTGGGGCATCTCAGGGGTGCAGGCTCTGGACCGTGCTTACCTCAAGCAGCTCTCAGAAGCAGCGGCATGTCCACCCTCCACCTCCTATGCGGAGGCGCGGCCAGCCAGCTCTGCTGTATGCTGCCCAGTCTGCAGGCACGGCCCCTGCAGTTCCCATTGGCCAGGATTCCTGGCTAATGGGAGCGGCGGCAGTGAGTGGAGCCCCTGGCTGCACCTATGCATAGGAGCCGGAGGGGGGACATGCCGCAGCTTCTGGGAGCCGCGTGAAGCAGCTCCTGACCCTACTCCCCAACTGGAGCGGGGCAAGCCACAGATCCCACTCTCCAACGGGAGCTCGAGGGCCGGATTAAAACAGCAGGCGGGCTGAAAGCGGCCCACGGGCTGTAATTTGCCCACCCCTAGCGTAGTGCCTAGCACTGTGGGGTGCTCATCCCTGAATGGGCGTCCAAGACTCTTCTACAACATCTGAATAAAGGTTGCATTAAAACAGGACTTTGAGGAGTCCTGTTAACTAACAGTTTTGCAGTCAATGGAGATGGTGATATGTCATAGTTAATTTTGTCAGGTAGTTGTGGATAACTCTGTGGTTCCATTATCATTTTGTTGATATTAAATAAGCACAACAGTTGGGTTTAACATATCGTTAGTAGCAGGATTCAAATTCAGGTATCATCCCTCTTCTGCCATGATCTAACTGTTTAGCCTCGGCAAGCTCAAAGTGGGACAGTTTTCTCTAGTATAGAAGCTCATTTTTGAGCTATTTCCTCTATTAAATTGAATGTATAATGGCTCATTCTTTAAACCAATAAGAAAAACAGGACTACAAATTCTGGAACTTGGTTTGACATTTTTCTTATTGACAGTTGTGAATTCCAAGGCCAACTCTTTGTTATAACAAAAAGAAAATTCACAGGTAAAAAACCATTTTATGATTTAAATTTTTGTCAGATTAAAGCAGGATTTAGGCAGATGCTACATGTGTCCAAAAAACAAAAAAATGCGGGCAATCATCAAGCTTAGTTTTAGCAGACAGAAGAGCTCTTTCTGGTTGAGACTGGTACAATTAGAATACTCTAAATATTGTTCTGACCATGTTCCTCCCTGGACTTCAAAGTCCCTAATGCTTTCCGTGGGAGAAGTTCAGGCCCAAGCTTTTTGAACATCTAAACATTACTTATCCTAAAGTTGTTTTTTGATAAATCTTGACAAAAATTTAAAGGAAAAAAGTGCAGACAGTATTTCACAATGTATTTAATGATTCCAGCAGCTGGAACAGTACAAGCTCCATTAATTTTTGTTTGATTACAGTTTTCTATTACAGTACTCTAAACCAGTGGTCTCCAAAGTGTGGTGCGTGCACCCCAATGGGTGCACAAGAGGATCCTTGGGGTGCACAGCAGGAGGAGAGCTTTTTTTTTTTTTTTCTTTCCCCCTTTGTCAGGCGGGAGGCCGAGCATCTTTTTTTTTTTTTTGCTTCGGCAATTTGGGCGGTAGAACTGGCGCGTCAGGGGGGTGCATGCTCAAAAAAATTTTACTGATAGGGTTGCGCGATCAAAAAAGTTTGGAGACCACTGTTCTAAACACCACAAAACAACTTATACAAATACCTCAAAGGAAAAAGAAGTGACCAGTTCAGTTTGGTTTGTCCAGGTTGAAGTTGACCAGCCACCAAGAAATAAGTAAATATTGATTACACAAACTTAGGCCAAGGGTGGGGGAAGAGTAGGAAACAAATTTAGGGCTAGATAGGCCTTTCTGATGGGGCCAGGAGCAGCCCTCCCCCCCCATTCCTTTTCAATTCAGAGTTTTTAAAACTACTTCAGAAGGGCTCTAAGTTTATATCTCAGCTTTTTAAAGGGAACATTTTGAAGTGCACATACAGGGCCAGATCTTCAAACCTACTTAGTTCCCTAACTTACATTGAAATCAACAAGATTTAGGCACTTAAATACCTCTAAGGTTCTGGCCTCTAACCCTTCAATTTTTAATATTTTCACACTTCTTCCAGAGGCATGGGATTAAGTTTATTGTCTCCTCCATATTTTAAACAGAGTTGAGTTGTGGATAGAGGCAAAGAGCGTGGTAGGTAAAACTCTTAAAGAGGTTCCAAAGTAAACCAAAACATCCAGCTCACTCCTCCTGCAATCTCTGCTTCATTAAAGGCTTTGGATAAAGATTAATAAACCGTGCCTCCTTTAAAGGCAATATTGATAATCAGGATTTATTTTATTTTGGAATAAAGTATTCATAACTTTTAGGTGGAGCGTTTTACAGAAGAGGTCGAGGCAGCTGCTACAGAATTTTAAGATGCCTACAGAGCACCTCCATACCAAAACTTTGCAGAGTTTATCCTACAGAGCTGTTCCCAATTTTCAGTTGGGAGCTGGAAGCTGTGAGATGGTGTCAGATTACTCCAGCAAGCTGGAGGGTGGAAGAGGATAGGATTAAACTAGCTCATTCTGAATAGCTTTACAGAGTTTGATTAAGCCTCTTGTTACAGAGTATAGATGTTAGAAGTTCTGTCCTAGCTGTAAGGGGAGCAAGGCAACAATGTTAGCATGTAGAAAGAACAGGATTGAGAATATTGAGTTATGCCATTATGTAATTAGATAATGTGCCCTCACCTGAGTGTCTTCAGTTCACCCTCTCTCAGAAAGGATGAGACATTTAAAAAAAGAGTGTCTAGAGATAAGGGCCTAAACTGATAAGACATAAAAGGTGGTGATGGTGGGGGGGGGGGGTGACTGAAGAAAAGATTGGGACTATTTGGAGGAGAGATGAATAAGGGAAGTGATAGTTATACAAATAGTGGTATAGCAAAGGGGAAATTGGGTTCTAGTAAAGGAGAATTCAGTAGTGAAAGTAATAAAAGGCAAAAAGCAACAGAGTCCTGTGGCACCTTTAAGACTAACAGATGTATTGGAGCATAAGCTTTCGTGGGTGAATGCCCACTTCGTCGGATGCAT